GTAAACCCATTTATGGCCCATATTCCCCAAGTATATATACCTGTTAGGTGGTTGAGGAGGGATTGATGAACATAAGAGAGTGTACGGTCTAGAGGAGCTTATGTGTGTGTATTTGAAGGTGTTCTAGAGAGAGAGAGAAAAGAGAGTGTGTGTTAGTGTGTGTGAATCTTGTATCCGGATCTTCATTCATATCAATACATACAAGATTCATCATCTTCTTCTTCTCCTTCTCTTCTATTTGATCTGACATGATCCGTTTGATTGGGATTCCGCACCATCAAACGGATCTGATTGATACACAAGTAGTTTGGGGACTTACAAGGCCCAGCATCCGATGCAAGTCTGGCATTAGCCTGAAGATCAGTTAAGCGTTCGAACACTTGCTGAAAGCTCATGTTTGTCTGTTTGGAGAGAGATTCGTAGGCTTCAGCGATAGGGGCTTGAGCTTTTAGATGGTCAAACAACAAACCCAAAATCAAGAGCATTTCGTCAAACTTGTTATTCAGAACATCAACAATATTCCAGCGTGATCGGAGTAACTTGATGAGGACTTGTTGCATAATCAAATTCAACTCGTCCTTCTTCCGAATCTCCTTCTCTAGCCTTTGGATTTGCTTTTCATGGCGAACATGAGTTTGTTTGATCAGTTCGTTGGTCGCACTGATCATGTCGTTATGAATCTTGAGCATAATAGTGGTGGTGGAGATATGATGATCAAGGCTGTCATTGTATTTCTGTTCAACTTCTTCCAGAGTATGCTTGAATCGAAGAGAAATGAGTTGGTCAAGTTGATTTGCTCGATCGAGTTTGGAGGGGCCAACGTCTTCAATATCAGAGAGAGATTTGAGAATGAGTTCAAGCTTGGAGTCGAGGCTGGTAACCTTGTGATCAATCTTGGAGTCAAGTTGAGCAACAGTTTTATCAAGTGAGTCAACCTTGGAAAAAACACTAGCAACGTTGTTTCAGAGTTCTAAGAAGGAAAAAAGATTTGCAATGTTTTCATCCGAAGATCTTGTGTCCGAGGTAGAACTCTCAGAGTGTTTATCATTATCATCACCAATACCATCATCTTATGGTTCCGAAGGAGTGGGATTATCAGATGGATTGGTTTCGGTTTCACTGCCTTGATTGCCTGGAGCGTTGGCATCAACATTTATTTCTTCTTCTTCTTTCGAGGAGGAGAAAAGGTCGAAATCATATGCTGGTTTGGAAGAGGAGGGCTTCTGTAATGACTTGAAAGTTGTAAGGATCGGAATAGCACCAACAGATGTGCTGTCTTCATCAAACACGACATCATCGGAATGTTCTTCATCGGAGGGAGGCTTGGGAATTTCTTCGCTTGTGAACATCGGAGGAGGATCATTCGAAACAATTTTTGGATCGGGACCATCTCCTGTTGCGGTTTGCTGAGCTTCTTCGGAAGAGTGAAACTCTTGATCGGTTTCTTCATCAGTTGGAAGAGTGAATGGACGATTGCTTTGAATAGATCTGTGACGCATTGAAATAAGCGTATACTCCACTTGAGTGTTCTTCATGTAACATGTTTATTCTCTCTATATATCCATTATCAGTTTACTCACATATTATGTTCATCATTGTTCATACAATTATCTTCTTGATATTATCTTTCCACACCAATCCAATTGATAAAAATGGGTTCCTACAGTACGCTCAGCGTACTCATAGAGTACGCCCAATGTACTCGGCTAGGGACCAAAATAAAAAGAATTTTACAAATAGGGTATAAAAGGAAGATACCCCTAAATTGCGAATGTTACATAAAATTAGGGTTTTGATTCGCCATGAGTACGCCCTGCATACTCAATAAGATCCCGCGTCCAAATTAATGAAGTACGCCCCACGTACTTCCCTAGTTACACCCCGTGTAACGGCTAAAATGCAATGCTTTAGCAATTAAACTTTAAAAGATTTTTACCTAGGAATCGGGTGTTACAACACTTGCCATGCTACTTTTTTTTTTATAAAAATAATTTATATTTAAAATAATCAATTTAACCAACTTAATTTAAGACTAAAATTTCATTAAACTTTGATGCAAATTACAACAAACACACCAAAAAAACTTAGAATTTAAAAATAAACACATGGAAATTAAAATTACCAAACCTAGATAGACCTAAAGGACATCTTCATCGGAAAATTGACCGTCCAAATCATCGACCGGTTCCGCGTTAAGATCGATGTGGTTGACGATCCAAATAATTTCCGTCAAGTCCCTACAAAGAACATGATGTGTCTCAACATCATGAACTATTTCCCTCCTCGCCATGTACTCCGCGCTTCCAACCTCAAAAGCTTGTGTCGGTGGAACGATCTCGTTTTCGTTATGCTCACATATTTCATTTCCTTCGTCTAAGAGAATCATATTATGCAATATGATACAAGTATACATCACCTCACTCATTTTCATTTCCTCCAAATAAGGCGCGAGATATTTAAGAATATGCCAACGTTTTTGTCAAACCACCAAAATGCTCGTTCAACATCCTTTCTCGCCTTCTCTTGAGCTCTCTTAAACTTCAACCTTCTGCGATCATTTGGACAAGACAATGACTTCACAAAACAAGCACGCTCCGGATAGATCCCATCCACAAGATAATACCCGTTCTTATACGTTGTTCCAAATACTTGAAAGGAAGAATCTGGTGCAGTCATGTTATACATGTCGTCAAATAACGGAGACATGTTAAGAACATTAATGTCATTAAGGGAACCATCAGACCAAAGAATGCATGCCATATCCACAAATCTTGTGAGGCCATCGCTTCAAGTATAATGGTTGGATAACCATGATATTCTCGGGTGTATTGACCTTTATGGGCGTTCATACAACAACCCAATTCTCAATGGAAGCAATCTAGGCTTCCCCACATTCAAGGGAAGCCGTGCATATTTGAATGATGAGCATACAACTGTTGGATGTCACTACAAATAGGTTTGCACAGATATCGTGGACCATATAATTTCATGACAAACTTACAAAATTTGTGAAGGTTTTTTCGTTTAGTATGTCCGGACATCTTAAGATTCTCATCTAGTCCATCGGGGCAAGTGGCATACGCTAATTGACGAAGTGTAGCGGTGCATTTTTGTATAGGAGTAAAACCAATTGTACCTCTAGCATCCCGACGTTGTTGAAAATATGGACACGCTGCCGTGACGTCGTTGACGATACACAAAAACAGAGCTTTATGCATACGGAACCGGCGACGAAAATAATATCCTTGAAACACGGCGTCTTCGGAAAAGTAATCATGCATGTGTCGTTCATTAGCTGCCCCACGATGTCTTTTTATGTATCTTCTCTTCCTTCGCCGTGCATTCTCCGTATTTTGTTGCTGTAGGTCTTCAATCTTTTGTTCCGCCTCCTGAATGACCTCTACGGTCGTTTCAAGCAACACATCAAACATGCCCGATGCAGATGATGAAGATGACATTTTGAGAGAGAATATTTGAGATGTAGAAGATGGTTTTGATGTGGTAAATGAATAAGTTAGGTTGTATTTAGAGGAGTTTTTTTTTTTTTTTTTTTTTTTTTTTTTTAATTTAATTTAATTTAATAAATAAAAAATAAAACATTAAATGGAAAAAGAGTCGTTGCCCTCCCATTGGTCATTTCCAAACGGTCAAACTCGGCATTTTCTCACCGAATTACCAACCCGAGCTCGGCATGACGAGGCCTCGGCCTGGTGTTCGCCGAGCTAGCCGAACCACATGCCGAAGCCACTCTGCGCCGTCGTCTGAAGATAATCCTATGAATAAAAATCATATGCTTTTCAAAATTAACTTTTTTTTGATGCAGCCTTTTACATTGCACCAAAAAGATTTGTGAAAAAAACTTTATTATTATCATGGTTCTAAAAAACGCGTCATGGCGCGCCTCAAGGCATGCCATGGCGCGAGGCGTGGTGTAGCCGTTACGAAAACATCTTTGAAAAACGCCTTGAAAAACGTCATGGCTCGCCAAAGCTTGTCATGACTTAACTTTTACCTTGCCGCCAAGCCACGTCTCACGTTATTTAGAACCTTGATTATTATTGATGTTTTTAGTAATCTTTTCGGTTGGTGGCATGGCCACAACTTTTTTTTTTTTAAAGAAAAATGGAAGTTTTTTCTAATAAAAAACCTATTATGGATGCTCTTGCGTTTCTATGTTTGTATTTTGATATTAAAGGGTGTTTGAGATTTCATTTAAAAACAACTTATTGATTTATTGATTTTATGAAAAGTCAACAAATAAAAGAAAATGTTTAGCAATATAAAATAGACTTTTTAAAATAACTTTTTATTAAGTTTTTAAAAATAAAATTTCAATAAGTTGAGATTTCTAAATTTTTGGAACTTATAATTTTTTGGGTTGTAAAAGATAATATTACTCTAAAACATCTTTTAAAACATGTAATATAAGCTAAGATAAATATTTTTTAAAAAACAATTTATTTATTGAATTTTTCATCACAAAAACTAATCCAAACATTATTTTAAAATTTATTCTCCTTCAATAAATTATTTTATCTAAAATTAACGTTTTAAAATGAAATGACAAACACACTCTTAGTTTTGGAGATTTTAATAATACTCTCGAATATCTGAGTTGTTTGTAGTTATTGTCGTTTGTGTTTAACATATAATTCCATATAAATGGTTATTGTCAACCAAAGGGCTTTAGCCCAGCGGTACCGGTGTTGCCCTTTCTCCTAGAGGTTAGGGGTTCACGTCTTATTGGAGACATAGGTGGTATGAGGAGTAGTTTAGGAGTAGTGTGGATTTGCTGTTCTAAAAAAAAAATGATGATTGTCCTTAACTTGTCTTTCGGTATATAAAAATTTAAAAAACAATCGATTTCCTACAATATATAATAAACGTGATTTACTAATATAAAAGAAAAGTAAAAATAAATAGGCCTTACATCTTTATCCTCATTTTTTAATTAAATTTAAAAAAAGGACTTTGTCAAACGACTGCGTAAACCCACCTTTCAACCTACGATTTCGAAAACCCAAAATCAGATCAGATTCTTCCATTTCTCCAAGCGGTTCTTTTCCGGCCGCTACGGTTTCATACTTTGCGAGAGGGTTTTGTAGATCAATCTTCCTATAATCATCATCAATATGGGGCAACAATCTTTGATCTATAGTTTTGTGTCCAGAGGGACCGTGATTCTTGCAGAGTACACAGAGTTCACCGGAAATTTCACCTCTATTGCTTCCCAATGCCTCCAGAAGCTTCCCGCAACTAACAATAAGTTCACATACAATTGCGATGGGCACACCTTCAATTACCTTGTTGAAGATGGCTTTAGTAAGCTCTCACGAACTTCTCTCTGTTAATTTTCCGTTACAGCTTCGATTTTAGATGTGATTCTAGGGTTTTCATTCATCCGCATCACATTTTATAAATGGAAAGCTTGTTCGTCGGTTCTAATTGTTATGGATGCATATTTCCGCTTCATCTGATTCGTGAATCGTGATGTGGTTTTGGTTGATAGTTCTATAATGGAGTATAATTTCTATAATTTACTGAACTTCCATTAATGAACTTTTTGTATTAATGGGTTTCTATGTGACAAACAGACTTGTAATGTATTGATCTATGTTTTATTACATTGCAAAACTGATTATTATTCGACTGCTTTTGAATCATGAAGCATACTGTGTTGTGGCTGCTGAATCTGCTGGCCGACAAGTGCCCATGGCTTTTCTTGAGCGAACCAAGGACGACTTTAACAAGAAATATGGTGGTGGCAAAGCTGCTACAGCTGTTGCCAATAGTCTTAACAAAGAATTCGGGTAACCCCACCCCACTCTTCATTTTAATCACAATATTTGTGTAAATCCTTGTAAACTAATTATATATTTATGACTGAGCTTACCATGAGCAGACCCAAACTGAAGGAGCAGATGCAGTATTGTGTAGATCATCCTGATGAAATCAGCAAGCTCTCAAAGGTCAAAGCCCAGGTTTCAGAAGTCAAAGGTGTGATGATGGAGAACATTGAAAAGGTAAAAAGATAAAATACTTTTTGGGCGTTTTATGTTTAGGTTAAATGATCAAATACATACTCCAAGTAATTTATAGGAATTTTGTTCTGATCTTGTAGTTTTTTTGCATATACAGGTTTTGGATCGAGGCGAGAAGATAGAGCTCCTTGTGGATAAAACAGAGAATCTTCGATCTCAGGTCAGGAAATTTGAGTTCTTAATTTACTTCTGCATGATTGTGCTATAAGAAATCTTGGATCAATCAATCTATGCTTCAATTAAGTTTTTCTTGATATTATATTATCATTATGTTTGAAAGCATCACATGATTTATGGTTGATTGCAGGCACAAGATTTTAGGACACAGGGTACACAGATAAGGAGGAAAATGTGGCTGCAAAATATGAAGATAAAACTAATAGTTCTTGGAATCATCATTGCCTTGATTCTGATTATAGTTCTCTCAGTTTGTGGTGGCTTCAGTTGTGGCAAGTGAAAGTGAAGTGAAGCTCATATATAATATGGTAAAACTTTGTTTAATTTGTTTTTGTATTTATTAAAAAGCCTATTATGTTGCAAGATTGCGTGTATATTTTTGTACTTTTAAGACCATTGAAACAACTTTATTGCTCTTTGGTCTTTTAACTTGTAGTAGAATAATGTTAACATGTTTGTAAGAGGATGAAGTTGTAGGAGTGCATAAGTTCATAGCATGGGTTCGTGCTTTTTTGAGGTCAGATGACACTCACAGAATGTTTTGGAAATAATTGGAATATCATCATCATCATCAAATCTACAATACCATAAGAATTTCATAATGGTGAGTAAATGTTGTGTGTATAGATGATTGTTTTCATAGATAACCTCTGACATGTGAAATAAGGATCATGACTAAGCAGATGTAAGTTGTAAATAAGGGTGAACATGGTCTTGGAATCAGACTGGATCAAATAATGAAATTGGGATGTGGTGCAAACTGAAAACCGAACTGAATACAAGTATATGATAACTGTTTGGTTTTGGTTTTTTGGTACCAAAACCGCATTAGGACCTAATGTGTTTGTTAGTCCAAATTCGAATGTATTAAAAAAGTGCAATAAAATATGGATTCATAAAATGGATTTGGGTTTAAAATGCAAATATGTATTCATAGTATTAAAAAAGTTTTGCACATTGGCACCTTTAGAGTCCCAGAGTCTTGGTCTGGTCTCACGGTTTATTTATTTTTATTTATTTGGTTTTGTTTCTGTATTTTTCAGTTGGTTTTGAGTTTTCCCGTTAACAAATATGTGATGAACACTAAAATGATATATTAAGATTTACTAAAAGTTATATATTAAAATTTAATAAAAGAAAAAAGGGAAGAAGTTGAGTAATGTGATTAAAAAAATTGCATAATTAACACAAAAATAATATATTTATAAACTTTGGCAAAAATGCAAGATTGGTCTGGTTAAAATCGAAACCAAAGTGGACCAAAATTGTATGGATCGAAATTGAACTGGGGAAAAACTAAAACTAAAAACCAAACCGAATGTATATCAATGCTATATTGGTTCGGTTATGATTGGTTTTTCTCTCTAGTTCGAGTTTTCAGGCCTGTATGTCTACACCTTGTAAAATCCTAAATTTCAAACCATTTTTTTTCTTTTGAAAACATAAATAACCATCCAAAACATTTTCATAAAAGATCAACTTAGTAAATTGTTTCAAAACATCATCAAACCATAATATCCAGATGTGTCAAAATATCATAACAATTGAAGTCTAAAATAAATCGGTGGCTATGCGTATGCCGTACAGTCAAGTTGGAGCTTTCTCATGATTAGAAGAACTACTTGAAAAACAGTAAATCAATAACTGTAAACATAAAGTTTAGTGTGTTCCTCCAAAATACTACATACTACAATACATATACAATGCATACAAACAAAGGCTCTCGACTCTAGTACCGATTCACCTGATCAATGGCGACTAACGACTCTAGTACATGTCTAGTCATCAAAGGTGACTAATAGATCTAGTGTATGTCTAGTCATCAACAAAAGTTAACGACTTTAGTGCACGTCTAACGACTCTAGTACACATGTAGTCATCAATGGCGACTTACGGCTCTAGTACACACGTCTAGTCATCAACGGTGACTAACAAATCTAGTGTATGTCTAATCATCAATGACGGTTAACGGTTTAGTGACTTCTTTCAAAATACTACATACCACAATACATATACAATACATACAAACAAAGACTCTCAACTCTAGTACCGATCCACCCGATCAGTGGCGACTAATGGCTCTAATACACGTCTAGTCATCAACGGTGACTAACAAATCTAGTGTGTCTAGTCATCAATGACGGTTAATGACTTTAGTGCACGTCTAACCATAGATACGAGTATTTTCCGGCTCTCGACTCTAGTGCCGATCCACCATCAACTCAACATAATATGTTGACATATCATACAATCAAGAAATCAAACAAGTAATAGACAAAAGACTATACTAGCCTACTTGCCTAATCAACATACTACAATACATCTACATCCTATCATACAAAAGTTATATATATATATATATATATATATATATATATATATATATATATATATTTTGTAACATACAGTATAGTGAGATAACTCATTTGAAATGAAAGTTGGAGAATCACAGCTACACACATGTCCTTGCAAGAAATAGTCTCATGAACCACCTAGACAACAATCAGAGGTCACACCTCAGTCTATAACTCATTCCTCATAGTTTGACCAAAAGTCAAACTAATAAAAAAGTGAACGATTAAAGTCAAAGACCATCTAGTCATGTCGTGACTATAGATAGATGCGTCGTCTCGCGACAAAATAATTGGGGAAACTCCATAGGTGCATTGTGGTTACCCAAATAGGTGTGATGCGCCTTTCTGAACACAACCCTTAACAAGTAAGATCATAAACCCTAACTTCCAAAATTCATCCTAAAGACCAAATCTTATGCATGGCTTTGAGGGAAGTGCATGCATGATTTTATTTTTTAATCTATATAGAAGTGTCTACAAGCATGAACTAATCAAATGAGGTTATGTAGTTCTTCCAAACTTCAAGAAAGACCGTATTGTGGGACCAAAGTGACCACACTGACACCCATAATCTAGATTTAAGAGAAAGAATCATAAAAATTGAATCTGTATACCTTTCCAAGGTCTAGAAGATGATAAGAGAACAAAACTTAGTTGGATCCTTCTTCACAGTGCACCAAGTTGTTAGTTCATTCTTCAAGAATCACCAAAACACCACCTTTCTCTTCAAGCAACACCCTAAGGCTCAAAAATCTCATAAAACCACTCAAAGGAGGGATAAGGTTTGCTCTGGAAGGTTGGAGGCTGGTATTTCAAATAAAACCAATAAAGAGGACGAGCAACACCTTCACTTGGGCGCGTCGCGCCCCACGTGACATGTAACGTCCCAAAAATACTAGATGAAAATTTGTTTTTAATTCAACTAAAATATTGATTCATTACTTTCAAAATAGTGATAACATCAAAAGTATTTCCAATAACATCAGAGTGGCATCAAAATCGTAACTATGAAATCTCCTATAGATGCGATGCAATCATGCCATACTTTTCCCCTTAAGGTCTAGATGGATAAAGTTTCCAACTTTATCTACTAATACCACCCAAAAAGTCAAAATCTATAATCCTAAGCTCTTAATGGGTGTACCAATTTCATGGACAACACACAAAGTCATGTAAGGCCACTTTCTTGAAGGTTTGTATCGATCAGATACACTTCAAATATAATAAACAAAAACAAACTAACTAATCAAATTAAGAACAAAAAAGTAAAGAACACAAAGTATTCACGAAATTGTCTTTCACCAAGGAAGGGTTTGTTTTCACCAAGGAAACAGGTTGTCACAAAGACGGTCACCGAGACATGCATTAGGGTTTCACCCTAATATTGTATATATACTAATCTATACTAGTATATCCCTCGACTGAAGGGATTTTATCTAATCTATACTAAGAACTGATCCTTATCACAAGTTTATCGGATCTGCTATCTATTGTATACATATCCGTGTAATTACCTAATATGCAAATATTACATTATATTATATAATTGTACGCTGAAGCTGATCTTCATGCTGACGTTGATAATTTCTTGAGATGCTGGTGCTGATGTTGGCACTGATGCTGGCGGTCAGCGTATAGAGTGTTTGACTCATCAGATCATAAGGTGTGACCTTACAATCTCCCCTTAGCTGATGATGTCAAAACTAATCTTCAAAATTCTTCAGATCGTGCTCCCCCTGAGAGTAAGATTGAAACTTTAAGTTCTTCAGCTTTAACGAATGCTCCCTCCTGAGAAAGTGTATTACTACATATTTTTAATTATCAACAGTAGAGTATTTATGAGTTTCAGCGGATTAGTAGATGACGAGCTGATAGAAAGTTGATATTAGCTATCAGCTTGGCTCCCCCTTAGATTTTGCTTCTCTTCAGATCAATAACACTTAGTAGTTTGAAAGTTTCTCCCCCCTTTTTGACATCAGCAGCAAATATAAAACTTGGAGGAAGCGATCAGTGTATCAGTTGCAGCTTGTAACCCAGTAAGTTTGTGATGTCTCCTGATAATATAGGTGTGAACCACCATTCACTAACATAGTATTGCGAGATTTCATCAACGTGTGGTTTCATATGCTAACTTATTAATCACTTTTATTAGAATAAAAATGGCAAGAGTGGTATGATGCATGTGATAAGATGTGGTGTTTTAGCTTAACCATCGACATAGATTTTTCAAGTTCTCATCGGTGTATAGTACATTACACTGAATCATAAAGCTTTAAAGAATAATTTAAGGAAAGAATAGATTGTTTCAGTCATTCTAAGGTGGAATCAACGTGAATCATAAACAGTGTTAACTCATTAACAAAAAGTGGTTTAACTTCCATATCATAGAGTTAGTTGCAGTCTAGAATCATAGATCTTCCGTCAATTCGTAGTGGTACCACGTCATTCCTCAGACAAGGAGGTCAGGAACATGAATAACCCTTTTTTCATTTAAGGACCAGACAAGTAAATCTTACGCTGATGACTATGCAATCAACATAAGCCACTGGGTTATGCTTGATGTTTCAATAGAACATGATGTTGGATAAGGTGTCTAAGTCCATAACTATAATTGGTATGTACTTGACCCGAAAATAGCATGATCCATTTGGGTTGCATTTCACCGGAACAATTTGGGTGGATGGAATTTTGAGAAGAGGTTATTTATGATTTATTAATATATTTTAAGTTCTAATATATTAATGTGAAATCATATTATTTAATTAGTATTGGTCAGAAATTAATTTGGAATTAATTTAGTGATCAAAATAGACTAATTAAATATACGGGGACTGATTTGGCAAATGAATGATTCTTATAGTGTGGGCCAATGATTATTTAGGATGGGCTATAAGTCCATGGATAGTCTATGGAGATTAAACCATGGAGCCTAAGTAATATGAAAGGTCATCTCCATTAGGGTTTACATGGATGTAACCCTAGACTTTACCACACTATAAAAGAAGCCCCTTAACAACTAAAATCGGCACTAGTTTTTCTAGGAGATCATAAGAGCTGATTTTTGTGCAAGTCACTCTCTCTCAAGTCCTCCATTGTTGGTGGTGTTTTGTGAAGCATTTGAGGCATCACAC